AGCTAGTTAGCAGGGAACTTGGGTTCCAGATACACTGGAGTCTAAAGAAGAGGGGCACCTTACAGCATTCTGGGGCGGGGCTTAGAAGGACTTTGAAGGCTTAGTTTGAGAAGGGGTGGGGCTTTTGTGTAGAACCCAGTTCAGTGGAAGGGGTGTGGCTTGGGGCATGGGAACAGGACTTGGAAGAAATGTAAGGGAGTGGTTCTAGAGCATGTGGGGTTGAACCAGCAGTAAGTGAGGCTCCAGAGTGGGGAAGGCTTGGATTGGGGCCATGGTTCATGGAAGGGTATGGCATGGAACATACAGCAGGCTGAGCTTGATTCTAAAGGGGGCAGATCTTGAGCAAGACAAGATGTAGAATTCAGGAAGGGGCCACACACACTTGGGGTGAGGTCATTGACAGGGTCTAGGGGCTTAGAGTGGGGCACAGATGTTGGTTTCAGAAGGGGCAGACCCCTCGATGGGGCAGGGAATAAAAATGTTTTACAGCCAGTGGGTTTGGGTAGTAGGGGAGGGAGCACTTGTTCTGAGGCTACAGGGATGTATTTTTTGGGGGGATGCCCCTAGTAGGGGTAATACCCTAGGCAAGTATGTGAACAGTGTGAATAGGTGTAGCCTGGGAAAAGCTGACAGGTCTGGATTGGAGGATGAAGTGTGGGATCTAGAGAGAAGCACCCACACACCCTTGCCCATCTCCACAACTGGACAGCTAGAAAATCAGAGGACAGAGTCAACAGGTCTGTGGGGTCAGCCCACCCGGTTCCCTTCCTTCCTCCTCCTCCCCCCTCCTTTCCTCCCCACCCCACCCCCAGGGTGGTTAGAGGCCAGGTCTGGAGCCCCTATCCTGCACCCTTTGCTGTCTGTGACGTTGGTAGTGCCTGTGATTGTGTGTTGCCATTTTGTCTGGCTGTGGCCCTTCCCCCTCCAGACCCCTATTCCCCCCCACACGTGCCCTTTGGTATTGTTTGCAGAACCCCTCCCCAGGAAGAACAAATATGGTTAATTATCTTCCCCTAAATAAACTCCTCAACCACCTAGTCAACCTGGCTCTGACTTCTCAGTGTGTTTTTTTCTGTGGGGAGAAATGGGGGAGAGGAGATGAGAGGAAGCTCAGCCTCTGACTTACTGGACACCTTTCCAGTTGTTGCACCATTTTAGGTCCCTCCCAGAGTATTATGCCGAACTCCATCGTCTGCGAAGCTTTGATACCCATCTAAATGACCAGCTGAATAGCTCTTTCCACTGCCCCCACTTCTGGCCATGAATCTTGTCTTTCAAGAGTTTGGTTCAAATTCTGGTCCCTTAGCCCTATGCCTTCCCAACACTGATGGAGTCCTCTCCTCAGATCCTCAAGAAGTCCAAATGAGACCCCCACACTTCACAAGGAGACCTCACCCTGCCCCTCCTCCGTATTCTCCAGGCTCTGCTATCCCTCCCATTTCCTTGCCTCCACCCTAACTGGAAAACCGGGAAGACCCACTAAGCAACAAGGCCAGGAGGCTGGGTGCCGGAATGAGTCACCCATTAATTCATTCCCGCCACACCTCCTGGCTCCTCCCTAGGGTAAGGAGGGAGAGGAAGTGACAGGGATCAGTGTAATGGTGGGGGGAGGGGGACCCGCCAGCGCCTGTGTTGAAAAGTCGGGCTGACCGCCGCTGGTGCTGTCACACCTAATTAAAAACCCCTTCCGGGCGCCGAGTTCTAACCGCGGGCTGGGAATCCCCTCCTCCCAGCCCAGAGGCACGGCAAAGTCTGAGAGCGCGGAGGAGAGACTCAACTCTAGGACTAAACTCAGGGAACAGGATACCGGAGAGAGAGAAATAGGAGCGCTGAAGCGAAGATTTTAAAATCTTCCCAGGACTTAAAGGGCA